CACACACTCACACACACACACACACACACACACACACACACACACAAAGTTCCCTCCAGTACTTGCCTCCCACTCTGTACTGGAGCTCTTGGTAATAATAAGCTAGACAGCAGGAACAATGTGCTTTTAAATGCCAGATTCTGAATCTATTAGAATTTTAAATAGATTCTTCCTAAGGAACACAGTGTTCTGTGCCTTTTCTTTATAAAAAGAATACTTGGGCTAACCTGAAATACTGCAATGTCTATTTTTCCAAGGATAAAAAAATGGCATTTTCAGTATGTTACAAAAACAAACTAACTGCATACAAACAATGCAACAGAAGTGGCATTTTCAGTTAATGTTTTAATTGATGCAAAATTTTCTATAATTTTATCCTTTGGTAGATTAATCTTAAGGATTTTTTTTCTGCCAGGTTGTTGAGGAGTACACAAAAAGAGAAGAAGAAATAGAGCAGTTAACTGAGGAACTAAAGATAAAGAAAGTTGAACTGGATAAATATAGGGAAAACATTTCACAGGTAATTATTCAACCGTTTTCTTTTTCTCATGTGCTTAACATTAATCATATGGGAATGTAGGATAATGCAAAATGAAATGATACACTGCATTTTTTCTTAGAAGCGTATGTTCTCATGACCAGATATTGATATTAAATTTGTTTTATATAAAGTTTTGTATCAATGCAAGGACACTTCTTTTTAAATTGTGTTTTTATATTGCCTTTACTTGCAGGTAAAAGAAAGGTGGCTGAATCCTTTAAAAGAGCTGGTAGAAAAAATTAATGAAAAATTTAGCAATTTTTTTAGTTCCATGCAGTGTGCTGGTGAAATTGATCTCCATACAGAAAATGAGGTAAAATTGCATTTGAAATGTTTCCTGGCAAGTAATTTTAATTATATGCTAAAAGTACATGTAAATTGTTTATTTACTCTAAAGTTATATCTGTGAAAATTTTGCTTACAAAAAAATTGTCCTGAGGAAGGAAAAGACCATATATGGGATTCCATCAGGCTCACCTTTTTTTTTTTTTTTTTTTTTTTTTTTTTTTTTTTTTTTTTGTATGTCTAATACCTTACAAAGTCTTTTCATATCCAGTCTAAGTAATGGTTATTCAGGTGTGGTAAGCAAATGCATTGCTTTTTGAATCTATTACTCAAGTTTGAAGAGTCATAAACAAATTGGTAAACATAACTGAAACATAGTATAGTATCAGTGGTTTCCTTTTGATCAAAAATTTGAGTTCACAAGAATAAAAATATTTAGAAATTTGGTACTAAGTTCTTGAGCTACATTCATGCATTGCAGTTGTGGGTAAAATAAGATTTCCATTAAGAAATGTGTAGGGGCTTCCCTGGTGGTGCTGTGGTTGAGGGTCTGCCTGCCGATGCAGGGGACATGGGTTCAAGCCCTGGTCTGGGAGGTTCCCACATGCCGCGGAGCGGCTGAGCCTGCGCATCTGGAGCCTGTGCTCCGCAACAAGAGAGGTCGCGATAGTGAGAGGCCCGTGCACCGCGATGAAGAGTGGCCCCAGCTTGCCACAACTAGAGAAGGCCCTGGCACAGACACGAAGACCCAACACAGCCATAAATTAATTAATTAATTAATTTAAAAAAAAAAGAAATGTGTAAAGAGGGACTTGCCTGGTGGTCCAGTGGTTAAGACTTTGCCTTACAGTATAGGAGGTGTGGGTTCAGTCCCTGGGTCGGGGAGCTAAGATTCCCACGTGCCTCTCAGCCAAAAAGCCAAAACAGAGAAGCAAGATTGTAACAGACTCAATAAAGACTTCAAAAATGGTCCACATCAAAAAAATATATATATATTAAAAAGAAAGAAATGTGTAAAGAGATGAACTGGGATGTGCTTCAAAATAATTGGGAGGGCTTCCCTGATGACGCAGTGGTTGAGAGTCCACCTGCCGATGCAGCAGACACGGGTTCGTGCCCCGGTCTGGGAAGATCCCACATGCCGCGGCTGGGCTCGTGAGCCATGGCCGCTGAGCCTGCGTGTCCGGAGCCTGTGCTCCGAAACGGGAGAGGCCACGACAGTGAGAGGCCTGCGTACCACAAAAAAAAAAAAAAAAAAAAAGAGCAAAATAATTGGGAAAGAGGAGTGGGTGGAGTTATAGATGAAACAAGATTGGTCATGTATTGATCATAGTTGAGACTAGTTGATGGTAGATACATTAAGCTTATTTTAGGGTTCTAATTTTGTAAATGTTGAAAATTTTCCCTTGTAAAGCAAGGTAGCACCTTTATTTCCCCTTAGGAACTTCGCCCCATGACTCCTTTATCTGCTTCGTGTGAGACATAAGGATAGCAAACATCATTTCACTTTAAGTTTTAGTAAGATATTAGACCTGCCATGAGAATTGTCAGCTACATAGTGTGGGCTTGTTAGAAGGAAGGGATGTGTTATAACAAATATAATTTATAATATACTTTCTATGTACCAGACACTGTGCCAAGCACTTCTAGGTTTATCTTGTTTAATCCTCAGAACCATTCTATAAAGCAGAGAATGGTTTAAAACCATATTTTATTAATAAACTGAAACAGTAAAATATTAGAACCACTTACTGCAAGCTCTAGAGGTCTCCAGGGATCTATTTAGATAAAACTAATATCGTGAGGTTTTAAGTTCTTTACTCTTATAATTGATTGATTCAGTCTATTTTCAAAAAATTGTATGGAATTACCAGAGAAAACTCTCACCTTTCGTCAACTTTTTAAATGTTTTATAGGAAGACTATGATAAATACGGAATTCGAATTAGAGTCAAATTTCGCAGTAGCACTCAACTACATGAATTAACTCCTCATCATCAAAGTGGAGGAGAAAGAAGCGTTTCTACCATGTTATACTTGATGGCACTTCAGGAGCTTAATAGATGTCCATTCAGAGTAGTTGATGAAATCAATCAGGTACAGCTTATTCTTTTATTGGGTTTCACTGTATCTTGTAATAGATTTAAATCTAATCATTATTATTGTCATTGTTTAGGGAATGGACCCAATCAATGAACGGAGAGTGTTTGAAATGGTTGTAAATACTGCTTGTAAAGAAAACACATCTCAGTATTTCTTTATTACACCAAAGGTAGGTAATAAGTAACCTAAAAATACTCATACTCAGAAGTCCCTTGTGGCTAAAACATGTAGCAGTTTTTGGCCCAGTATGTAAATATGAGCAGGAGCCCTCCCAAAATAGAACTAAAAAGATGATAGTAATATTTACATTATTAAAGGGGACAAGTTCCAGTGACATACTTAATCAGAAACCTTGTTATCAGAGGAAGAAACATAGGAGGCATAGTGTTATGTTCTAGAACTGAGATTTCCTCCATGCTTTTGGCACTTATTCTTCCTCTAAAGAAGTTCCTCTTTTAGCGCTAAAAAATGACAGGAGAATATAAACCCTAGAACGCTGGTCCTTCTCGTTTCTCCAGAAAGGTCTGTTTTGGTGCTGTGCTCTGCCCTTTTTTAATTCACCACTGCCACTGACTTGGCCCAGAGGCAGTCCTAAGTACCCTGTGATCTTCTGTTCATATATTAACTTTGGGAAAAAAAAATGAATTATCTTCACAGAGAATTTTCCATAAGCTAGGACCATTACAATGGGAAATTTTCTTTTGTGGGTCAATTATAAAACTGATGTACAGTAATCAAAGATGTATTTATTAATGTAATCAGATTTTTTTTTTAAGTGTTCAATGAAAAATTTCATTGGAAATCCTATCTTAAATTCAATTTTTTATTGAATAGTATAATCTGTCTTCTTTTTCCAGCAGATACCCTGTGGAGTTGCTAGATCTGTTAATTTCCTACTGTTTACCAAACATGTTGGCCTATAAACCAAACCTCCCTGTTATATACCCTTTTCAGGCTACCCATCTATCACAGTGCCTCACCATAGAAGTTGCTTGAGAAGTGTTTTGTGGATAAAAGAGTGAAAGTATCCTAGGAAAATTCTGGAGGACACACTTTTCCAGGGTCAACTTAAGAAGTTGTATGATCCCATTTGGTCTATGAATATAGAGGGCTCCCAAGGCATGTTGATGATTCCTTAGGCCGCGCTTCAGATGCGCTAATTCAAATGAGGATCACAGTCGGGCAGGGTGTATATTGAATTGAGAACTCAAGAGTTTCATTCATATTACAAATAAAATAATATATTTGACTATACACAAGTAAGGTTGAAAAGTTGTGCTTCTTAACGGAAAGCATTATATGACAGTTTGTTTTAACACTTACAGCTCCTGCAAAATCTTCCTTATAATGAAAAGATGACGGTGTTATTTGTCTACAATGGTCCTCATATGCTAGAACCAAACAGATGGAATTTAAAGGCTTTCCAAAGGAGGCGGCGCCGTATTACATTCACTCAGCCTTCTCAATAAAAGTAAAGGGCAAGAACTTTGGGACTTTTCTGTTAAATCCTGTATATAAGTGTGGCTCAACTGAATAAAAGTTAGGAGATTCATTAAGACTAAAAGATCAGTTATTTTTGGAAACCCGCTATTAGATACAAATGGGTCGATGAAAAGAGACCATAATAACTTCTTTTTTGTGGAACATCATCTGGTAGTAAAAATTAAGTCTTCTTGAGTCCTTAGCACTCTGACCATAAGTCATTGGGTCCCCATTTTTTTTTTTTTTTTAAGTATTTGCTACTCAAATCAAAGGTACAGTGGAAGGGCTTATCAATTACAAGAAGTTTAGTTGACATGGTAACCCTGAGCTTTACTTGCAAAGTAGTTTTAACTACTTTTAGAGTCTAAAGATGACTCTACAGCTTAAGCCACAGTTTCTCCCAGTGTTATATTTAATTTTAAAAATTTGATATGGAAATGTCTAGTCTAATGTATAGTAATAATTTATGGCAAATCTATTCACTTCTTCCTATTAAAAAGATACCTTTTATCTCCACTAGGAAATGGAATTTTATGAGCCTTTAAAAAAAGTTTTATGAAACTTGATACTATAATTATATTGGTATCTCAAAGGAGGGAAAAGTATTGGGGTTCAAAAATGGTAGCAGGACTTCTTTGAAATGCCACAAGGTGGCCACTAGATGATGCAAAAAATGCAACCAAAAGATTGACTGACAGAGAATAAAATCAAGTGCCAAGGGTTTTTAAAGAATAACCCTGTAAAATGTGGGTGAGGTTTTTTGGGTTTTGGTGGTTTTTTCCTTTTTTTAATTTAAAGTCAATTGTATTTTACATCTTAAATATCTAAAGCATTTTCATAATTATTTTTAGTAAGATTTTTCTTAAGATTTCATATACTGGTTTTTACAATTTATATTTGAAATTTCTCAGTGTTATGTAAAGAGTGAGGAAAAGCATTGATTTGTTTAAAACCATAATGTTTTTAGAATCTAAGCTTATATAGGTCCTAAAACTTACAGTGTTGATCCTACCCCACTATCTTAGAAAATCTAGTTTAAACTGTTCTTTCAACATGAAAGAATTAGATGAGAAAATCATTTGTTTATCTCTGCGTTATATTAATTAACAGTGCCAAAACAAATTCTATTCTTTTAAATATTGTAAAATAACGGACTAGATCAAGGACATATCTTTGAACAATGGACTGGATCTGTGCCGGTAATAACAGAATTATTTTTTTGACTTGGCAGCTTGACTAAATTGAAGAATTACAGTCAATTTGGGTTTTGTATGTTCTTAAATAGCCACTGAAATTTATATTCTTGTTAGGTCAAAAAATAAACCTCTTACTTGGACATTTTCTCTTTAAAAAGCTATTTTTTCCTTCATAAAATTTTTAAAAGAGCCTTCCCCTCTTAAACTAAGTCTAATGCATATACTATGAAAATATTTTAAAATAACATTTTTACTAGTGCAAACAACTCATGTAAACCTTGAAAACCTTGGTAACATATTAGTAAATGGATGTTGTTACCAAATGTTTTTGTTGTTTAATACTTCGTTTTCCACCAAAGTATCTTTACTAATATGTGCTTAGTGTAGTTTGTTTATTGTCTGAGTTAGTGCCAGTCATCTTATTTCTGCAAAATGATTATCAGTGTGAAAAAGAAGTTTGAAGATTAGGTGTGTTTGAAAATAAAATGGTCAACTACCTTTCAGTTTACATATGCTAATAATTATTCCATACCTTGTTTATAAGCATTTCTCTCTTTCTAGTGGACAAATATTTGGTTTTTACATTGAATGTTGACCTGTGAAGAATAGTAAGTCTAGCACATTAGTCTCAGCCACTTGAAGCTTCACATATTTTCTGTAAAAGTTGATTTTAATTACATACAAATTGTAAAAACTTCAAGTAACAGTCTGATTTGATGAATAAAATATTTAAAACCCTAAGGTGACAAGCAAGTATCTTTAATGACAAAATCTTCATTGATTTACGTAAGGAGAGAAATTGAAAGGTTTTTAGCATTAAGTAAAAGGAAAAATTTCTTGCTGCTTTCTAATTGTCTTTTGGACATGTGCTTATTTTCTTTGGAGTATGAATCTTTAGTGTGTAAAAAAATATAATTTGAGGGAATTCCCTGGTGGTCCAGTGATTGATTAGGACTCCACGCTTTCACTGCCGAGGGCCCGGGTTCAATCCCTGGTCGGGGAAGTAAGATCCTGCAAGCTGTGCAGTGCAGTGAAAAGTGTGTGTGTGTGTGTGTGTGTGTGTAATTGGAAAAAAACTTTGTGGGAAATGCTACTTTGTTGGTAATAAATGCATATATTCATATTCTTTTGGTGTATGTCATTTTAAATGAGAACTGTTTTTATATACTTTGAACCTTCGTAAGAGTCATTTTGGTTTTCAGATTTGCTGAAAAGTTTATTGAATGCCTACCATTTACAGAACAGTGTTTGGCTGTCCATGTTCAAAAGGATAGAAAATGGAGTCCCTTGTCTGCCTGCAAGGAAATTAGTCTAAATGAGTCAAGAAATAAAAGAAAAAAAGGTTTAAACCACCTAAAGAAACCAGTTACAAGGCAAGTATAAATATTTTTAGGTTGAAACTTTAGATGGCCTGCAAGAGAGCCCTGAATATGTCATCTTATGTATCTATGTACCTAGTTAAACTTCAGCCACTCTGTTACTCAAGAGGGGGAGGGTGAATACTGGGGACACGCAGGAGTCTCTGCCACAGACCCAAGGAGATAACTGATTACCCTATGGCCTATTGACATTGTTTTCAGAGAAAAGACTTGGTAGGTTTTCCATCACACTCATAAAAAGCCAGTTGTCACAGCCTTCAAGATTTCTACATATCTCCCCACTCTAACCTGATCTAAAATAGCATCCCGGAGCTGCTCTACAGTGCTCTTACCCTGGTTTCTCTTCATAGCATTTATCACTACTTATCATTATGTACTTTGTTCCTTGTCTGTCTTCTTCACTAGAATATGAGTTCTCTGAAGACACAGACTTTTTTGTGTTGATTGCTACCTCCCCAGGACATAGAAAAATGCTTATCAGTACATAGTAAGCACTCAGTAACTGTAGCATGAATGAATGCCCTTTCTCCCAACACTGACAGATATTTGAGCATATTTATTCCATTATTCATGTAGTCAATCCTTATTTACGTGTACCACTGGGAAAGCACTATGCTGTGTATTTTGAATAAAAAATAGAGCCTGCATATGATTCCACTATCAAGAAACTTAGTTTAGCGTGGAGATTCCGGTTCAAGATGGCGAACCCCATCTTGAAGATCCTGAACTCACCTTTTCCCACAGACACACTGAGTCTACAGCTACATATGGAAAATTCCTCTTAAAAAAATACCTAAAGGCTGGCTGAGTGACGACTACACATCAGGCAAGCAAGAAAATCACATCGAAGAGGGTAGGAGAGGCTGGAACACAAACCCACCATAAACCCCACCCCTGGTGGGCCCCAAATTGGAAGAGAACTCAAAACCTGGAGCTTCTTGATGAGAAGTGAAGGGTTTGAACCCCACATCAGGCACCCCAACTTTTAAGACCTACACCTGAAAGACAAGCCACAATCTAATTTTGATAACCACTGGGGCTTATGTCCCAAGACCCAAACTGTAGTGATCTGAAAAATGGCTCTTAAAAGGCTGGTGTGCTCAAACTCACCAACCCCAGGGCCCAGCTTAGAAGCAACATATCACACCCAGACATAAAGGGAAGAAGGCTCACCTGCTTGAATTGAAGCATCAGCCTTCCTGAGGGCAGGCATCTACTTTGACATGCACATCTGGGAGCTGACTAGGACATTCTGGGGACGGAGACTAGCAAGTGCTATTTTCATGCTCCCTTTGCCATGCTCCAGAGCACAACTGTCCCTCGGGTGAGAGCTTTCACGTGCATCTGATGCCCTTATTTTGCTGGCCACTGCCTGGAGAACACCTCTTGATCGCCTAGCTCTGGAGGCCAGGGTACCTTGTGTTCCTGGTCCCATAGGACTATAAGAATCAGTGTCACCAGAAAAATCCGGTGCCCCAATTTTTGTGGCTGCTGCCAGCGAGCACCTCTATACTGCCTGACTCTGGTAACCATGGGGCCTATGCCAGTGGGTCCCACAGGACAATAATCAATTGAGGAAGAGTTCTTAAATAGTTACCATCCCCAGAGAACTGCAAGAGGCAACAGACCCAGGAGTTCAGTCTGTGCAGAAGGCCTATTAAAAATCATGGCTGTAGCCTGAGGGACAGGCTTCCGATTAATCACACATCTGGGGGCTGTCAATATTTTCCAGAGGTCTGGGAGAGGGGGTACTATCTTCAACTTCTCCCATTGCCATGCTCCAGAGTGCCAGTGTCTCCCAGAGGGGAGCTTTACACGTCTGGTACCCTGGTTTTTATATCCGGTCCTCACTTTTTGCAGCTTCTGCCCAAGAGACAGCCCTTGACTGGCTGGCTGTGATGGCCAGGGGGGCTTGCATTCCTGGGCCTCACAGGACTGTGGCTATCACAGAGACAGTTCTTGGCAGAACACTGCACACAGCAGACTGAAATATACCCTCACCCCAGTCTTTCTGTGAAGTAGGCCTCTTTACTTGTCCTGGAGCTTTGGCCTGAGAAGCAGGCTTCAAATTTGGCACACATCGAGTGGCCTACACAAAGTTCTCAAGGGATACAGGCCATGGATGCCATCCTGGTGCTCTCCCTCTGCCTTGCTCCAGCTTGCTGGCATCTCCCAAAAAACAGCTTATACACTTGTCTGGAGCCACAGCTTTTTTTGCCACCCAGGGATACCTCCAGATTTCCTGGCTCTGGTAGCCAACAGGGTTTACACTTGGAGTCTCACAGGACTACATATATTTCCATAGTATTAAAAGCTGCTGCCTGAGGATCTGGCTTCCTATCAGCCTGAATCTAGGTAGTGAGAACCTTCCCCTGGGACATGGACAGGTCTTGGCACACCCTCAACTACTGGGAGCTATTAACAATATAATAGGTGCTTGGACAATCACAAAGGTTTGAGAGGAAACCAAAGGCTAAGTCAGGGTTGAACAACTT